AGACATAGGATCCCCAATTTCTCCCTTATAGCTAAACCATTATACAATGCAGCAAGGGCAACTCCCAGTGGACCTTTGGACTCCCCAAGGGTGGTCACAGAGGCCTTTAAAAAGCTCCAAGAAGCACTTTACCAATGCCCACCATTGTGTTTACCAAACCCTGCTAACCCCTTTCTTCTTCTCACTAACAGGGCAGGGCACAGTCCTCACCCAGCCTCTGGGACCCACCGACTCTCCAATAACTTATTTATCCAAACAGCTGGACAGGACGGTCTGGGGGTGGCAACCGTGTCTCCATACCCTGGTGGCCACTGCCCTTACCAAGGAAGCCCTTAAAATCACCTTAGGGAAGCCCCTTCAGACCTTCTCCCCACACACACTCCAGGACTTATTGTTGAGTTGTTTCCTCTCCTGACTCCCTCCGGGCAGGATCAGGAAATCCATTTGCTCTTTCTTGAAAATCCCAATTTAGGCCTGCACCGGTCCCCCTCGCTTAATCCAGCCACTGTCTTCCGTCAAAAAAGGGCTGCCTTTGTGCTCGTACTGGTGGGTCTTGGCTTAGCCTCTTCAGTCATGGCATCAGGTTTCGCCTGTGGGACGCTAGGCACAGCACTTTGAGGAGAAGCTCCAGCTGGCTACAGAATCCACCTCGGTCTCTCTAGCCTCCCTACAGTGACAGCTCACTTCCCTGGCACAGGTAGCCCTCCAGAACCGAAGGGCCTTAGATCTCCAACTGCAGAAAAGGGCAGCACCTGTCTGTTCTAAGGGAAGAATGCTGATATAATGTTAATGAATCAGGGCTGGTAGAACAAAACATAGACACCCGCACCAAATTGGCTGAAAATCTTAGAAACCGCCAGGGAGACAATGCCTCACTACTCTCTTGGTTCCCAAACCCCCTTGTAACCTGGACCCTTCCTTTAATTGGGCCACTTGTGGTTATATGTTTCTTGTTACTAATAGCCCCCTGTCTTTTCAAATTTCTTCAGAATGGGATAAGGGGCATGACCAATTTAACTGTCAACCAGCTTCTTTTACACCCTTACAGCCCCCTGCCTACCGAACCTGACCCAGCTCACTCTGGCCTTTAATTCTTTGCCACCCCCATCCAGCAGGAAGCAGCCAAACAGACTAGTGTTGCCCCGTTATCACCCAAAAAAGCCAGAATGTTGGGTCAAGTACAGGTCAGGGGACACTAGCAACAGCCTGACCTGCCCTTATTGGACCAAGACAGGCTAGCTTCAAAAGGGCGCCAGGACAATGAGCCATCTCCTCAGTATCAGGTGGAATGATCAAGGCACCACCCTACCTCAGAATTTCACAGGTGGAGACGGCTTAAGCCCCTGCAGCTGCAGCTCCTGGCCCCTCCCTTCTTGTTTATCCTCCTGACCAGCTTAAAAACTTGCCCTTCACCACAGATAGGCAGGACTTCTCAGGCCTCCAGCTGGGGATCCATGAATCTCGCCCGGGAGCACAAACTAAATTTCTCCTTCTCTTTTTTTCATGCCTGGCCTCAGTTTACCTTTTCAGAGAGCCTAATAGCTACAGCACCCCTATCTTCAGTGATCCCTGCATGAGGGTGAGTATCAAGTAGGGTGGGGTATAAGGTAATTCTATTGATGGTGTCATTAATCTAGCCAATGGTATAGAATTCAAAACACTGTTGAGAAAAGGAAATTGTACAAGTACAGGCCGGCTTCAGACCACAGTACATGAATTGTTCATTTATCCGGATTAAACTCAAATGAGTGGACACTATTTACACAAACAGTCGGGGTTAGTGTTCGGGCAAAACTTTCAATAACACTCATTCACAACAGCAGAAACCACGCCTACTAGACAAAGACGTTCCATAAGACAGCAAGGAGGGCATTCAAAGAGCAAACGTATGGCTCAACCATTCACTGGGCACCCTCAAAGCAAGGGCTGCAAACCAAAGTCCAACAACCACCAGCTCCCTAACTTTGGGATATCCTTTTTTTAAAAGGTGGCTCTCCGGGCCTTTCTGTTTAGAAGCCTCCGGATAGGCCTGACCCTCCCACTTTTGGTAACCAGCTGGTAGTGTTAACTATTTGCACCACCCAGGGATTCTGCTGTGTGGGTAGTTAGTGCCAACCTAGGTCCAGAGGTCTGCCTCCCCAAAACCAGGCGCCAGAGTGCAGCACATGGGCTAGGGGACAGCCGTGAACTTATGTTTTACTGCCCAACGATCCCCAGGCAAAGAGGAGGCAGCCCTCCCTCCCCTAAGGCCAGCTGAAGACCCAGCCCCCGTGGCCTTCCCCATGACGACGAGAGAATGGCCACTGTTTGACCCCTGGTCCCCACCTACCAATGCTGCCCTAGTGCCCTCTCCTTTTTTTGCAGCTGTGACCAAAGCTTCCTCCAGGAAGCAGGCATTCCTATTAGCTAGGGGATTAACCATTACCTGAGTCCTATCCCAGTGAACTCACTGAGTCATCAAAGCTCAGGGTTCTGGGGGGGACATTTAGGGAGCAGAAACAGCTCATCTCCCTCCACAGGGAAAGATGTTTTGAGGGACGAGGTGTCCTTTCCCGGGTGAGGAGTGAGGCAGGAGTGGTGGCTAGAGTTATTCGAGCCATTCCAGCCCCCAGGCTGAAGGCAGAGGGGAAGGGAGCAGCTTTTCAGGGTCAGAGGAGGGGGGCACTGGAGTGGGCATCCCAGGGGTCCTTGGCCCAGAGAGATGGGAAACCTGTGTGAGGGAGCAGGGTGGTGGTGGGGAGGGTTTCTAAAGGGGAGGGAGGCTGCTGAGTGTGGGGCTAGCTGGAGCCAGACGGCCTGGAGCCGGGTCCACTTGCATTATCTTCTTCCCTGGCAGGAAGGCCACAGGGGCTGGGGGCTGCATGGGCAGAGAACTCAGATGCCAGACAGACTGTTGGGTGAGAGCTATGGAGGCAGGCTGGAAAGAGAGGGAGCGGGGAGGGAGAGCCACTCTAGTCAGGGCTGAGACTAGAGTAAAGCAAGGTGACAGGTAAGGCAAGACTACCTACAAGCGAGGTGGTGGAACACAGGATTCAAGGTGGTCCTTACTGCTGGGTGCCAACCCTGTACTTTGTGACAGTTTGTTCCTTCAGCACCTACCTCTTTGCTGGCTCACGACCCCTGACCCTGCTGCCCCCACCTCCTGCTCTAAGCAGGCCTAAGCTGAAGGGGGAGAGGCACCCTAGGGAGATGGGGGACCCCCCTCCCAGTAAGCTGCATGTTCCATGTGGTGCAAGAGATAAAGCATAGGGACTCTTAGTTGGTCCCCCCGCCAGTGACCTCTTGGGGGCCTGGTGGGGAGGAAACCAGGAGAGGGACTCCTGGTCTGGGTGACTTTGGCTGGTCCTTTCTGTGCCAGTCAAAGCTGCTGCTGCTGTTAGTGGCCGGTGACCCCGTGCACAAAAGAAGGAAACACTGCCCAGTCCTGCGCCATCCTCACAGTTGTGGCTCTGAGCCCATTGTCATAGCCACAGTGATAATGCATCTCGTTGAGGGCCTGTCCACTCAGAGAGGAGGCCTCGGTTTTCTGTCTCTGAATCTCTTCAAAGTGGCTTGGGTGGCGGGGAGTTAGGAGGGCCCTTAAAGCAATAGGTTCCTGCTTCTTACTGCCAGGGTGGACCTGCTCTTGGACCCCAAACCAAGGAAGGTGGAAAGAGCCCCCAACAAGGGTTCTGAAACAGCTGGCAGAATCAAGAAGCAGGCTCCAAGAGGCCTCCCAACCACCTCCACACCCCATCCGGCACCCCCAAGCCCTTATTTTCTAGCCGAGGGTTCTTGCTTATCTTTCGGGGGCCAGTTCTGACCTCATCTCCCCAAGGAGCAGCCCCCTAGCCCAGGTTAAGAGCCAGTCACTCCACGTTCGTTGGTTTCCTTGACACCTGCACTTAGAAACGTGTTGGGTGTGTTAGAAACGTGTTGGGTGTGTGGCAGCCCCAAACCAGACCACCGCCATCGAGTAGATTGTGACCCAGTGACTTGCAGGACAGGCTAGAAGTGTCCCGGTGGGTTTCTGACATCTTTCCGGAAATAGATAGCTTCGCCTTTCTCCCTTGGAGCAGCTGGTGGATTTGAACTGCTGATCTTGTGGTTAGTAACCCAACATGTAGCCCACTACACTATCAGGGCTCCTTGCGTGGGAAGCGCTCCCTAAAAAGAACCATCCTTCCAACCATCTTTTGTGGAGCTCGGAATTTAACCATCATCTTGAGTGCATACCCCCATGCCATCATTGACCTATCCGTGGCCCCTCTAATCCTTCCATTATAATGTATTCCCTGTAATGCAATGAACACCCACCACCTGACCGTGCAATCAAGAGTCAGCGCACTACCTCATGCATGTAGAGAGAAGCTGCTTCTCCCCATCTTCCCTCCCGCGCAAAAGGAAATCTTTCTCTTCATTTGTTTGTTCTGATTATTAGTCTGTGTTACTATTATTAAGCCAGTGAAAGACCGCAGCCCCCAAGCGGTCAGAAGGGCTGCGGCAGCAGTTGGCTTGGGTTTGGGTTTTTTAACAGAATTGGTTGCTTCCCACCCAGATTGTAACCTCCTCTGGGGCAACACCTGGGGCTCCTCCCTCCCAGGAGTGAAGGGCATGCCGTTGGTGGACCTTGGTGGGCGGACTGCTTAGGGGCCAGCAGCGGAGGAAAGAAACAGACCCAGCCCACCACCATTGCACTGCCATTCCGGCTCACGGTGACCCTGCAGAACAGAGGAGAGCCGCTCAGTCTCCCAGGCTGTGCATCTCGGGGTGCCACCAAATGCCGGCCAGCACCCAGCTTCAGGGCTTCTGGCCTCACCCATGGCCCCGCAACAAGGGTCTATGTGACTTCTGCCCCGCCCTGTGATGTCACACAGGGTTGTCCAGGTGACCCAGCGCACTGCTGGCGGGAGAGTTCACTGCTTTTCCAAGTCTGGGCCCAGAGGGGCCGCCCTGCTTTCATCTCGAAGGTGTCCGGAGTCTGACTGCTGACCGCCACCCACCAACCATGGCCCAGATCCCCCATCATACTTCCACCCACAGCACCTCTCACTGCTGAGAAAGACCCAGACGCCTGGCCCCCTCACCCCTCACCCCTCTCCCCGCACCCTCTCCCAGTCCAGCCCCAGAGCTGGTGCACAGCAGCCCTGAGACCACACTGACCGGCCATACTGCTGCCATCCCAAAGACCCCAGGGTGCTCAGTCGTGCTGTCTGGGCAGTACTAATGTCCAGGCCTCTGCCAATACCAGGTACTGGTGCCCACAGCTGTTAAACAAGACCAGGTAGCCCAGCCCAGAGAGGATGGGACGGAAGAAGAAAAAGGTGAGGCCTGGGGCCCTGGGGCCTGCACCTGCATGAACTCACCTCTCCTGCTCAGGCCCTGGGCGGGGGCTGCTGCTCCAGTGTGGTCAACGCTTCCCCTCCTGGAGCTGTGAACATGGGGAGGGAGGTACCCCCCACCCACCCACGGGTCTTCCAAGTTAGACATTGAAGTGAGAGGTGCTCACAGGTGCATGTCCACGCTGACTATGCTGACCTGGGCCTCAGACGCAGAGGGGAATACAGATTGGCCCCCATGGGGAAGTGGAGCTATGTCCTGGAGAGCCCACGGACACAGGCACAGCCCCTCATTACCCTCCATCACCGCCCAGGATGCGCCAGCTGCTGCCCAGCAGTGCCTGTGTTCACTGATGCCCATGCGCCACTGTCCCTTGGGGGTACTGTCCACTGTGCTGCACTGTCCCCCATGCTCCGCTGTCCCCTACACCCCACTGTCCCCTGTGCTCTGCTGTCCCCTACACCCCACTGTCCCCTGTGCTCTGCTGTCCCCTACACCCCACTGTCCCCTGTGCTCTGCTGTCCCCTACACTCCACTGTCCTCTGTGCTCTGCTGTCCCCTACACCCCACTGTCCCCTGTGTTCTGTCCCCTACACTTCACTGTCCTCTGTGCTCTGATGTCCCCTATACCCCACTGTCTCCTGTGCTCTGCTGTCCCCTATGCCCTGTTGTCCCCTGTGTCCCACTGTCCCCTAGGCTCCATTGTCTCCCCTACATCCCCTATGCTCTGCTGTCCCTTGTGCCCCTCTGTCCCCCATGCTGTGTGTGGCACTTAAGCAACAAGCCAAAGCAGTTGCTGTGGAGTGGGTTCTGACTCATGAGAGCACTCCTGGGTCTCCGAGCAGACCTGTGCTCCAGTGGGTGTCCATCGGCAAGTCCTGGTGACCGACACCACCAGACCTTTCTTCCAAGGCGCCTCTGGGTAGACTCAAACCACAGAGCTCCCAGTGTTGGAGTATGACTCATTCCAAACTCACTTCAGCCAGCTGATGGGCACGGGTTGCAGCCCTGTGGACAGAGTGGAACTGCCCTCATGGGTTCAGAGGCTATAAGTTCTCAAACTTATTTAGCCTACAACCCCCTTTTCAAATCTATAGTATACCTCTTCACCGAAGTAGAAGCCTCATCCTTCTTCCAAGAACCAGCTGGTGGGTTCGAACTGCTGACCTTGAAGTTAGCAGCCCAATGCATAGCCAATTACAACACCAAGGCTTGCTACCCTAACCAAAAAACTAGGGGTGCCCAGACCCCGATGGGGTGCTGTGTTTATTGCCCTTGGCTTGGCATCTGGCTCCTAGTGCTGTCTGCAGCCCCAGCGAGGTCCCCAGTCTCCCTCCCTCCAACCCCCACCCGACCTTCCCCCTTTGAAAGTCCTTTTGGAATGTCACCCACTGAGGACCAGACACCAGGCAGGCTGGCGGTGGGCCCTCAGCTGCTGTCTGACCCCTCACACCAGTTCCCATCTGCCTACCCAGAGAGGATTGCAGAGTTTGGAGAGGGTGTCGGGGGCTCCGAGGAGGGGGCAGCTTGGTTTGACTTGACTCGTAGCTTTGGGGAACCTCTTCAGGTAGCTGGAGCGAATCTGACAAGGATGTTGATGATCCACATGAAAGGCTTTAAAGTTTTGTGGATAGTGACCCTGCGTGTGCAGAAGAGGGCATCCGGCTCACGCTGGCCCTGCCTGTGCGGAGTAGAACACCTCCGTGGGCTCTTCAAGGCTGGGACCGTTCCGAATCTGATCCCCAGGCCTGTCTTCCGAGTGTCTCTGTGTGGGTTCCGATCACCAGCCTTAGTGGAGAACGCACCGTTTGCCCCAGACGGCGTGGCGAGGTTTCAACCCTCGGCGTGGTTGTCCAGTGCCATCGAGTGTTCCCGTCATGGTGACCCGACGGACAGTAGAATGGAGGGCTGCCTGGTCCTGGGCCATCTTCGCAATGGTTCTCACGTCTGAACCCCTTGTTGTCGCCGCTGTGCCAACACCTCCTTCGCACTCTTTCTCTTGTCCACAGACTCTCTACTGATCTCGATGCGTATCTTAGGAACATGAATCCTTTCTCTAGCTTGCAAATACCTTCTCCAGTTTGTGCCCCCGTCCCCGGTCATTTTTGGAATTACAGTGTGTTTGAGAACGTTAAAGAAGTTGCTATGGATTTTTAAAGTGCAATCGAGCTAGCAATCTTCTTTCTGGATCTTGGACTTGCATGTCTTGTTTTGGTAAGCCTCTCCTACTCCAAATGGTCCCACCGCTACTGCCCTGCGCTCGGGTAGACGCCCTCATGGGCACACACTGTGGCCCAGCGGCGGCTCCCCACTGCAAAGAGCCTGAGTTAGGGTTGAGATGGCAATGGGGAGCCCTGGTGGCCCCACAGCTAAGCGCTTGGCTGCTAACTGAAAGACTGGCAGTTCAAACCCACCCAGAGGCTCTGCAGGAGCAAGATATGATCCCAGAAAGATTCCAGCTCCGGGTGGATGGATGAGAAAGCCCTATCTGGAAAAGCTGCCTACTGATGCTTGCCTCCTACGCATGATGGAAGGTGGAGTCCTGGTGGCATTGTGGGTCAGCAGTTCAAACCCACTATCTGCTTCTTGGGAGAAAGATGAGGCTTTTTGCTCCCATGACGATGTACCGTCTCAGAAACCCACAGGGGCAGTTCTGCTCTGTCCTGTAGGAGCACTGTGAGTCAGCCTCAGCTCAATAGTGAGTTTGGCATTGCTTTTGTCATTTAAGTAGCATTGGAGAGGAACCCCGGTGGTATAGTGTGTGACAAGTTGGGCTGCTAACCTCAAGGTTACCGGTTCAAATCCATAACCTCTCAGAGAGAGAAAGATGAGACTGTTTGCTCCTCTAAAGATTTACAGTCTCACAAATCCTATATGGGATGTCCATAAATTGAAACTGATTCATTGGCAGTGGAATTAGTAGTCTTGATGAGTCTCTAAGTGCCACAAATGACTAAGAGTTGGACTACTAGCTAGAAGGATGTCAGTTCAAACCCACGCAGAGGTGCCTTTGAATTCAGGTTTGTAGGTCTTCTTCTGAAATATCACATGCAGCCTTGAACCCCTGGGGTATAACTGTACTCCGCACACACGAGGCTAGCATCCGGTGGAACTGACTTGGCAGCATTTAACAATAGCCCCCACAACATTGGGGGGCTACGTGGGCCCCATGTGAGCACCCAGCTCTGCTCCTGGCTTGGGGAGATTGAGTCTCTCCTCAATGCTGCTGACACCCCACAGATGGGGCTTACAGGAGCTTTCCCCACCACCCACAGCTCACTCTCCCCACCTGGCCCCAATGTACACCTTCTGTCCCCCGGTAAAGTGCTCCAGTGTAGGCCCAGGGCAGGGACACCTCTTGTTCCTGCTACATCCTGAGGATACCTGCAGAGGCCCTTTCAGACAAGGGAACAAGAGAGAGTGGGTGGCCTGCCCCATTGCCCCCTCTATCCAGCCCTACACTGGGTCCAGCCTGCCCTAGCCCAGCATGCCCAGTGGGAACCTACAGGCTTCCCCAAGAGGCACCACCCTGGCAGCTGGCCTCGGACTCAGAAACGGAACCCAGCTGCACAGGAAGGCTCTTCCTGAGGGCAAGGCAGCAAGGAATGGGCACATCTCAGGGGCTGCAAAATGCCTGGCTTGGGAGTCAGGCCGAGTCCTTGAACAAATGACCAGGCTGGGCCCTCACTTTGGTGGCCTGAGGAAGCTCAGGTCAGGCCCTCACAGCAACAAGACGGCTAGGCTGCTCTCTTAGGAGCCCACTTGGAGTCTTGCCTCAGGGGGACGTTAGTTACCACCCCCACCCCCACCCCCACCTGAAGGGGCTGCAGACTGCCAACTGTCTGCATGACCATGGGAGGCAGGCTGTCCGGGCTCATAGACATGGCACAGAGTTGGGGCAGAGATGGGCTGAAACCCAGGCCTCTTGTCACTCATGCCCTGGCTGCTAACGCCTTTTCTGTACCCCTCAATCAGGACACCCACCCTCCCTGGGGGTGGAGGAGGAGGAGGAGGAGGATATGGTGAGTGTAGAACACTGAGCAGGAAGTTAGCTGTCTGCCAGGTGTGTGTGTGTTGCTCTGGTTCTCCCCACCCCCTTTCTACTCACTAGAGCTCCTGTTAAATACTGCCCCCTCCCAATCTGCTAGGGAAATGGGGGGCGGAGTGCTAGTTCTCATTAACACCTCTGCAGATGGTGACACCTCTGTTACAGTGGGGGGAAGGGGGGAGGGGCGCATCCTCATCTGTCAGAGGAGGGACAGGGCTTCTCTGTGATGTGCACATTGGGGTGGGAGGAATCCTAGCCTCCTAATTAGCCATCTTGTTGGGGGGCAGAGTTGGGGGGAAGGACTCTGCAGTGGGAGTAGCTGGGGTGCAGGGAATAGCAGCTTGGAGGGGAGGCTGCTGTGAGTGGCATGAGTGAGCAAGGGGCCCAATGGTAGGAGCTGGGACAGGGTCACCTGGCTGCACTGCCTGGGGCCTGATGGGTCAGCGTACAGCTCTGGAGAAACAGTGGTATCCTGGGTTCCCTGTTGGATTTCTAACTACAAAGTGTGTGTTCAAATCCACCAGGCACTAGGAGGGAGAAAGACGAGGCTGTCTGCTCCCACCAAGATTGACAGACGTGGAACCTCAGGGGCATTCTCCTCTGTCCTATAGGGTCCCCTTGAGCCAGAATGAACTCAATGGCAGTTAGCCAGCAGGGGCCAAGGGCAAGGTTTTGAGCAAAAGATGGACTAGTCTGACTTTTGCTTTGAAAGGATTCCTCCAGCTGCAATGTGGGATGGGGGTGGGGGGGCGCAGTGGAAGGGGCAGGGAAAGCTATCGGGAAGTTTGGGCAGAAATCCAAGGGTCTTGGAGCAAAGGGTTGAAGATGCAATGGCAAGAAGTGGAGAATTCCAGATGCTCGAGCTGAGCAGAGGGTCCTGGAATGTGAGGGGAGAGAGACCACGCATCACGGAGAGCTCCGAGGTGTGGCTCGAACCTCCAGAAGCAGGGGGCACCGTGACTCAGAGAGGGGAGAGAAGGTGGAAGCGGAGGCGAGTCAAGAGCTGGGGTAATCACTCCCAGGGCTGCTGCTGACGCGGGTGTCATGAGTAGCGTGGACATGTGGGGTCACCCCCACACATGGCTGAGCAAATAGAATCCACAAAATTCCTCAGGCCTGAGCAGGGGATCTGGGCTTCCCTCTGCTCTGGGGACTTTAAGGAGCCAGGAGAGGAGGCACTGAGGCTACCGATGTTGAACTCCTATGTGCTTAGGCCAGCCAGCCTAGGAGAGAGACCCCATGTGTAGGCAGGCACTTCCCCACCCCCACTCCTGCCCCCTTGCTGGCCCACAGGGTTCCCGGGTGGATGATGGATGTGGCACCTGGGACCGACATAGTCACCACCCTATGTTCATGCACTGAGATAAGCTTTGCAAATTGTCAAGTGCTGTGACGGGAGATACCGGACATGGCCCGTGCGAGGACCATGCAAGCACCGAAAGCAGGTGGGATTTCAGAATTCCACAAGGGCCTCTGCAAAAGCACAGGTTTGAAGGTGCGAAGGGGCTTGAGAGGGGAGGCAGCCTGGTCTTAAGGAGCAGGAGGTTGGAGCAGGTTCCAGCTCGGGCAAGGTTGTATTTCAGCACGGTTGTAGGGAGAGAGGTGTGGCAGTTGAGACTAACCAAGATGGCCACAGCCAACACAGGTGGCCCAGTAGGGGGTAGACTGGGAGGCTACTACCTTGTTCTGCTGCAAGTGACCGGTTCAGGACTGGGGGATAGAAATATGAGGTGGCCCTCCCCAGGAGAATGCACTACCGAGGACAGCACTGAAGATACAGCCTAGGAGTGTGGCAGGTCTGCCCAGACCACACGGGAGCAAACTGAGAGGGAGAGAGAGAGAGAGAGAGAGAGCAGCATCCTGGCCCACTAAACTTTGAGGATGACATTCCTGCTCTGAGCAGCCAATGCACAGAGAGGACCATAGGGTTGACCTCACCATGAGACATGATGCCCCCTTACTGACCGCCCCACAGCTATGGGCGGGGGGGCAGCACCGGAGACACTGTGGGAATAGTGCCTGGTCTGACCCCACACACATACCAGGGCGTAGCCTGAAGAAAGCACAACAGAGCAGCAAGGGGAGCAAAGCAACAAAGGCCCGAGGAATTCTAAAAGATTCTTGGATTCAGGGCAGGGTT